TTATAGGACTAATGCAAGATTCAATATAAGAACAATTACTACAAAGTTTACTCTCTTGTAATACAACCAAGTTTACATATAAAGTCAACAAACCGCGATTGGTAACTATTATATAATCGTTCTACAAATATATCGTCGGATTCTGAATGTTGTCCTCCCACGTCTTTGAGCAGCTTCTACGCCCCCTTTTTCAGATCATTCTAGACCCATCATAAGTCTTAGCGTGATGGACTTTTGCTTACGTGTGGACGAGTGAGTCCGGTATCTGTTGTCCACGTAACTCTAATCGAAATCGAAGTCAACAATAGATATGATAAAGTTAATGAAATGTGTGGTTAAAAATTGTGGTTCTACATGTACGATTTTAAAATGAGTTTAAAAATAAAAAATAAAAAAAAATCTAGTTTTAGAAAATGAGGTAAAACATGAATGAAAGTTATGGGTTCATAAATAAAATTATTTCATTAGAAGAATCTGTAATTAAAAATGGAGTCAAACGGCTTAATCAATGTTTACACGAGAGATAAGCTCTGACTTTGTGCAATAATGTCAAGAATATTTTGCTTTATGAAAAGAAAATTCCTACCCAACATATATATACACACACGCACTATCAAAGAATATGAACTAAATAAAGTTACTGTAGCTGCTAAATTTATTATTATTGTCACCTACTGAATTGACACAGAACTTATTAACCACGTCACGGCTGCTGAATTGTGTATACTTTTTTGTTGCAATTTGATTCACTGACTTTTAGAAAGTCAAATGCTAGTGAAGTGGTGCAACTTGTTTATTCTTTTTCGTTCGAATAGGTTTTTTCCTTTTTCAAATCACAACTCTACATTTTTCTGGTTTATACATAGTCATTGGTTGAAAGAAAAATTATCGTTATGTGATTCGATATGAACTTTTGAGGTACGAATTAATTATTAAATAAAGAAAAAACCAGTAGGAATCATTATGAGAATTTGATTCGAAACAATTTTTTCTTATTGGTTGGCGAGAATCGACAAAGAAAGTGGGATGCATGAAAATAGATGATGAAACGAGAGTGGTCCAATTCGAGAAGTTGAGAACTTGATTCGAAACTAATTTGTCTTATAGGTTGGTCAAGAATAGATAAGTATTCAGGATGTGAACAAAAATAGATGAAGAAGTTTGAGAAGTTGAGAGTTCGATTCGAAACTAATTTTTCTTATAGGTTGACCAAAATAGATAAATATACGGGATGTGCACGAATAGATAAAAAATTTGGGAACTCGATTCGAAACAAATATTTCTTATAGGTGGGCCAAAACTAGATAAATATACGGGATGTGCACGAATAGATAAAAAATTTGGGAACTCGATTCGAAACAAATATTTCTTATAGGTGGGCCAAAACTAGATAAATATACGGGATGTGCACGAATAGATAAAAAATTTGGGAACTCGATTCGAAACAAATATTTCTTATAGGTGGGCCAAAACTAGATAAATATACGGGATGTGCACGAATAGATAAAAAATTTGGGAACTCGATTCGAAACAAATATTTCTTATAGGTGGGCCAAAACTAGATAAATATACGGGATGTGCACGAATAGATAAAAAATTTGGGAACTCGATTCGAAACAAATATTTCTTATAGGTGGGCCAAAACTAGATAAATATACGGGATGTGCGAAACAGTAGATAAAGAAATTTGAGTGGTCCAATTTGAGAAGCTGGGAACTCGATTCGAAACTCCTTTGTCTTATAGGTTGGCTAAAAAATACATAGATATTCAAGATGTGAAACATAATGGATGAAGAAATTTGAGTGGTCCCATTTGAGAACTCGATTCAAAACAAAATTTTCACATAAAACAAGAAGAATATAGAATATAGGTTGCCCACAACGATATTGAGAAATTTAAAGGTCCAGTGCCCAACTCAACCATTTGTTACTTATATATATGATATATCCATTTTGTAAAAACATAAAGAGATTATTATTTATTTCTAAGTAATATATGATTTTAATGTGATTAATTTCCGTAAGCGATTCATTTAAATTTATGAATTAATTTGGCGCTCATTGAGTTAAAATATAATCAGGTTACACAATCTTGGCTTGGCTGGCACCTTAAAGGTCAACTTTTAAACTCAAAATACCCGAAACCAAGCCTTCCTTATAAGCCACGAAATAACTAAATTAATTGTCCAAAAGTCAAACCACTAAAAATATGCACGCTCTTATTATTATTATTATTATTATTATTATTATTATTATTATTATTATTATTATTATTATTCCATATTAATGTCATGTCATTTTTTTGCTTCACGAATGGTAAATTTGCATTTATTACATTTTCATCTGTTTTATAATCTAGATATGTACTTTTAATCTCTAAGTGAATTACGAGTAGAAGTTTTAGATTTGTATTTATGATTTTATTGAGGGATAATATATAGTAGTATTTGTTTTTTCCACATCGACTAATTATAGAAATATAGACCCGCATGTCGGATTTGTATTATTCATTTCTAACGACATTGACTTTTTAAGATAGAATCTCAATAAATTTCACATTTACTAATTATCGAAATATAGACCAACATATAGGAGCTTGGATTACTCCTATATTAACAACGTTGACTTTTTAAAATAGAACTCCAAAACATAATATGGTATTAAAAGATTATTACGTTTTCAACGAACAATTCGATAAGATGGGCTTAGGCTACTTCTTTTAATAATATTGAGTTTTTAAAAAGGAACCCAAAGACTTTTAATATCCTTTAAGAGAACGAAAATTGAAACTTTTTCGAATTCTAAAAGAAATGAGAGATTACATTCGTTTAACTCGCTATTTTTAGTCCATAAGTTTTCTTTAACGTTGTTCTTTTTTGAGCTATCTATTCAACATTTCGGTCACTAGCTCCTTACAGAGATAATGAGCATCCATGCTCTCTCCAAGCTATTGATCGCATGGATGAATCTGTGAAAAATAACGAGAGTCTATCCCTTAACGATTAGGCTTTGTCTTTGTTTGAATAAATCATTGTATGACTTTTACTATAATTTGAAAAAAAAAAAAATGAATGTCGGCTCTCTTGAATTCAAATCATGTCTAACATCAAATAATCGACCTCGGTCCCCTCTCAAACCAAGACTTAAAAAGTTTAAAGACATTAGTCTCGTTCAGGCTAACAAGCTAGATATGTATACAAATTTCCCGAATATTACCCCCTCGGGTACAGCTCAATTGGTGGATCAATCAACATTTGTTTTACTTCCAGCGACAGGGTGGAGGTTCGAATTTTGGTGAGAACTTGTGGCCAGATTTATTTGGTATGGAGTAATCACTTTGGAGGAGGATTTCTTGTGCGCAGAAATGTACAGACGGTGGAGGGAACCTGTGATCCAGTTAAGCCATAATCCGCGATTTACCCCCTCTAAGGTTCTAGGGGCAAGGGTCTTGGAGATCCAGAATTTAGTCTAGTGTAAGTTGGAATATCTGGATATCAAAAAAAAAAATCCCGAATATTTGGGAAGAAAACATTGATTTATAGAGGCAAAAAAAATAGAAAATGGAAAGAGCATAAATATCTATAATGGGATTTCGAATCATGGTTCCACCTTGTAGTGCAGGGTGTAAGTGGAGCCTTTTTGACTTTCCCCACTTCTCTCTGCTGCTTCTATAATCTATTCATCCTTCATCTTTTTCACTATTCCATTCTCTTCCCACGCCACGCCACCCCACCCCACGCCACCCCACCCCACGCCACTCTCTTCCCTTGCTTTTCAAAGTCCAATGTGTACATACACATACATACACTGTATTATCATATTCTTAGTCAACTCCTTTGCCCGACAAAACCACAAGCATCGAATGTTAAACAAATCGAAATTTAATATTAACATCTTCAAAGTCAACTCCCCCTTTCCTTCTCTCTTCATTTATCTTCTCCTCATATCTCAACTCTTCTTCTCTTAAATTAAATCATATTCAATATTCCAGCTATAACCTTTTAAACTCTGATATAATCTTCTCTCTTTCTCTCTCCATAGGAAACAGTTTTGTGGGTTTCTTGAGAAATGGGCAACGGAATAGCAAAGGTTTGTTTGTGTTTCGCCGGAGACCCGGGAGAGATTTCTCGGCGGCGTCACGATATCGCCGTGTGCTTGTCTGAACCTCTTGATGAGGGCTTGGGTCATTCCTTCTTCTACATACCACCCGACCCACCTCAAAAAATCATCCAGGATGACTCTGTGCGAGTCCCGGCCGCTCAAACGGCGGCGTTTCGTACTATCTCCGGCGCCTCCATCTCCGCCAACGTTTCCACCCCTCTGTCGACGGAGCCTTTCCCGTATGCTAGTTCAACCTCCCTCGATAAGGCATCGGCTTTCGAAAGCTCCCAGTTTTTCTCTTCTATTCCCCTCCAGCCAATTCCCAGGAATTCAATCACCTCCGTCAAGTCCGGCCCTATCTTGAGGAATTCGGTCCCGGGCTCAGGCCCGATGGAGCGCGGATTTCGGTCAGGCCCGATGGAACGCTTCGTTTCAGGCCCGTTGGAGAACCAGTTTGATCAGTTGCAGAGGTACAGGCCCAAATCCAAGAAATGGGCTTTGATTCACAATTTGAAAAAGGTGATATCAAAATCATTACGGGGTTTTTCTAAAGAATTGAATCATAATGAGCATAATAATGGTATTTCTAGTGGGAGTCATAGTGGTAATAGCAGTACTATTACTAGCAATAATTTGAGTAGCGAAGTGAGCTTAACTGATGATAATGATGATGTTGGAAATGAATCCTTTGGGATTCAAAATGTGCAGTGGGCACAGGGAAAAGCTGGTGAAGATAGAGTACATATTGTGATTTCTGAGGAACACGGATGTGTTTTTGTTGGTATTTATGATGGTTTTAGTGGACCTGATGCCACTGATTTCTTGTTAAACAATCTCTATTCCAATGTGTACAAGGAGCTTAAGGGATTATTATGGTTCGACAAGTCAGAATCGTGCGAAAACACCATCGATAGTCAGTCGTTTATGTCCAAGAGTTTGGATAGTAAGGAAAGAGTGGAGTTGGATAGAAAATTAAGGGAGAAATTGAGAAATTTGGGGGCTGATGTGGTTCAAGGAAATAATACCATTAACCATTTGGGGGTGGTGAAAGCTCTATCCGAAGCGCTGAGGAAGACTGAGGCATCGTATTTGGAAATCGCGGATATGATGCTAACGGAGACTCCGGAGTTGGCCTTGATGGGATCTTGTGTTCTGGTGATGGTGATGAAGGGTGATGATGTTTACTTGATGAATGTTGGGGATAGTCGAGCAGTTTTAGCGAAAAAGACAGAGAATGATGGGAGGCCGAGGAAGGATTTAGATGAAATGCTTTACAGCGATGAATTTGAGAATACACATAATTTGAGTTCTTGTCAGCTCACAATGGATCATTGTACATCTGTTAAAGAGGTAACAAACATATTTGTTCCCTCTAGTTTAAGGATAATTGTTTGATATATATGTCCTCTGTTCAATGTTCATGTACTAAATTTTCTGTAGTTTCATGTCTCAGGAAGTTAGAAGGATTCGAAATGAGCATCCAGACGATCCCTTGGCGGTGTTCAATGAACGAGTGAAAGGTTCATTGAAGGTCACTCGTGCTTTTGGAGCCGGCTTCCTCAAACAGGTACAATTGTTTTTTAGCTTATACTCAATTCTCAGGATTCATATATACTATGCAATAAGACCAGTTATCTAATTGTATTTAAGATTTTTAATGTTTATATACTTAACTTTTACAGCCTAAATGGAACAATGCTCTCATAGAAACTTTCAAAATCGACTACGTTGGTAATTCCCCCTATATATCATGTTCGCCATCGCTTTGTCACCATAGGGTCGACCCAGAAGACAAATTTTTGATTTTGTCTTCAGATGGCCTCTACCAGTACTTCACAAATGAAGAAGCCATTTCTGAAGTAGAAATGTTCATGTCTACATTTCCGGAGGGCGATCCAGCTCAACATCTCGTCGAAGAAGTACTATTTAGAGCTGCAAAAAAGGCTGGTATGATTCTAATAAACCGATGGTATAATCACTATCCGTCTAGCGTGTTTAAATCTTACGCCATGAATTCTGGTATTGCAGGTATGGATTTTCATGAATTGCTTGATATCCCACAAGGGGATCGTCGAAAGTACCATGATGATGTCTCGATTATCATTATTTCTTTTGAAGGAAGGATATGGCGTTCATCGATGCAATTAGAATTAGAATAGGGGATACAAATCGGGGGAAAAAAAAAATGAAGTTAGGATAAGTAATTTTTGTTTTTGTTCTTAATTTTACTTTTCTTTGATACAAATTAGGATCCAAATCAAGATAGAAAAATGTTCTATGTTAGTATCAGTTTGTGGGGATTGTAAATGTTGGTAACACCACCTTGAAATTTGATGATATTTTCAAGATTTTGTAAATTTTGGTACTGTATGAGTGGTGAACTGATCAGAATTCTTTAATTTTTTTTTTTTTAATTTTCCAGCTTTATTGTTGAAATATTAATAACTGCTCCTTCGACTTGTTCCATCTGATTGATTGTTCTTTGCATGACTTTATTTCCATCTAACGTGGAAAAAGGTTAGGTGTAAACTGACCACCAATTAAATAGCTAAAAAAAGGGTTGAATCCCAACATTGAGGGTCTTCATCGCCCTACCCTATCCCATTCCTAGAGTTCTATGAGGGAGGTAAATCGCAGGATGTGTCACAGCAGGCCAGGAAATAAGAGCTGTATGTACATTGCGCCTACAAGGAGTCTAATTCCATGTCTCAGGAATCAAATCCCCCATATTGCGGGTGTCAGCGAGGCGTGAGATAACCTCACTACTGTCTTTTGCACCACTGAGTTATGCCCCGGAGGGCAATGGCTAAAGTAGTAAATTTTGGAGAAGAGTTATGCTATATTACCAAATTGATTTTATCAGAATTGTGTCAAATTAGCACTTGACAATATTTCATTGATAGTTGACCCAAAAACATTTTTTAATTACTAATGAAATATTGCAAAGTGTCAATCTGGCATAGTTTTGATAAAATCAATATGATAAAATGGCATAACTCTTTGGAGAAAAGTTCTTTATTCTGAATTTGAAGCTTTCAGATTTTCTGCTTCAACTTAAGGCATTTACTTCTTTCTATTTTGGGTTCTCTTCATAAATAACTAGGGATTG